GGGCACCTGCCCTCCCTGAATGGAGCAGCGGAGGGTCCGGCTCCACCCAGGCCTATGTGGGTGCCAGGCGCCCGCTGTCTTTCCCGGAGAGCCGAGGCGGTGGCCCCGGGCGTGGGGCAAGCAGAGGTGGGGGCAGGCTTGAGTGAGACCCCCAGGGCGCAGCTGCCAAGAGGCCTGACTCTGCGCCTGACCCCCAGTGCTACGAGAGGGCGACCATGGCCTCGGTGATCAGGAGGGCAGGGGCAGGGCGGGGTGGAGCAGCCAGGGGCCCGAGGCTCCGTCCACTCCCGTGTGGGTCACTGCACGACCCCCTGCATCCCTCCCATGTCGGGGCGGGGCTGCCCCCGGGGCTTCCCAGGGCCCTTCATGAGGCTGCACCGCCCTCAGGCTGCCCCCTGGAGGCCTTTGTCCGTCCTGTTGTGTGTGACAGAGCCAACGGGCATGCACTGGCCTCTGCTGACCATCAGTGGGCTGAAGGAATCGGCACGAGGAAGAGGAACACTTTCCAAGGTCGCTGCCACCCCTCAGAGCATGGGGACCCCCAGCGTTCGGCGCACCCGAACCTTTCTGCTCCTGCATGGTCCCGTGCCCCGGGGAGAGGCCCCAGCCCCACCGCAGGACGCTGCACCCGGATCCCTGCATACACAGGGTGGCCCCAGCCCAGTCTGCGCGGTGTGCCCCCCTCGTCCTGCCCGCAGGGGTGGGAGTGCCGTCCCTGCCCCCCAGTGCCCCAGGGAGCAGGCCGGGAGCACAGTCGGGGTGGAGGTCCCAGGGGACACGGTTGAGGGAGCGTGGCCGCAGCAGACCCCCAGCACCCGGCTCAGGAAGTGGCAGGGCCCTCACACCGACGTCTCCACAAGCCCGGTGCCAGCACGCCCCTGGCCAAAGTGGACAGGGCTGCCCTGCACACCCTGACCAGGTTCCACCCCCGGCAGCCCCTGCGATGCCCCGAGCCCGCCAGGAGTGATCCCTGAGTATAGAGCCAGGAAGGACCCCTCCTGAGCACTCCTGGGTGCCCCCCAAAAAACAGAACAAAAAAGGGCGCCTGGGCCCTCCCTCGTGTGGCCGCTCCCAGCACCCCTGACACGGGCCTTGAAGCCTGACCCAAGCAGCGTCTGGGTGCCCTAGAGAAGGAGGCCCTGTGGGGGGACAAAGGCCACACCCCCGGACGTCCCCAACCACAGACCGCGGCCCACGGCAGGGACACACGGCTCCCCACGCTCCCCCTGCGGGCACCGGCCTCACACCGTGCCCGCTCTCCACGTCTGCGCCTGCGCTCACACCCACGCAGCAGCCCCACGCCTCCCGGGGTGCACACGGATACACACTCCCACACGTGCTCTGCACACGGGCTCCCCCGGGCACACATGTACACACAAGAGCAGGTATGTGGGGTGCATAGACGAGATACGTATCTGCACTGTCTGCACACGCGTGCACATGCGTGCACTCAAATGCAGTCCACGTGTCGTGTACATGCGTAGGCTGTGCATATGTACACGCCCACACGTGCCTTATGACGCCCATGCACATACATGTGCGGGCACACACGTGCATATTCATGGACATGTGGGTCATACACACGCAAGCCCCTTCGCGTGTGCCTCCACATGCATGCAGACCTCATGCAGACACAGGCGTGGACAGAGGCGGGTCATGCACAGTGCACGAGCTTGAATGGTGCACACGTGTGCCCCTTGCACGCTGTTTATGCATTTAAGTGCTCAATGCACACACGTGCAAAGCGAGGTTTCTTCTCCCGCCGACCCCGGAACCGAGGGGACTTTTCCCAGACTTGCCGCGAGGGGGGAGGGAGGGTGCAGGGGAGAGAGCGAGGGGGAGACTGCAGGGGGGCGGGGCGGGCACAGTGTGGCCCCTCTGCGCCCCGCGCTGTCCCTGTGGCTTCTCTGCCTTCTCCTGGGTCCGCTTGGGGCTCCCCACGTCCCCAGAGGCCCCGGGCCACGCTGAGGTGCCACGTGGGGTCGCCGGGCCCCAGTGCGGGTAGGGGGAGGCCCAGAGCTACAGCAGCCTTGAGGGGGGAGCCGGGCTGCCCCACTCACCCCTGCAAGTGGCCTGGGCAGCCGACAGAGCAAAGCCCGAAGCCGGCGAGGGCTGTGGGGACCCCCAGTCCCGCGAGCTGCCGGCCTGGCCGTGCCCGGCTGGGGGCTGTTCCAGGCAGTTCCGTGGATGCGCCGCAGGGTCACGACCTGGACATCTCCCCCACTGCCCCCAGGCTGTGGTCTGCTCGGGCAGGGGGGAGAGGAGGGGGCTGTCGAAGGCGCACGAAGGGCCCAGGGGACCCCCATGCAGTCACTGCCAGGCCCGCTGGGGACCCTCCGGCCTCCGCAGCTCTGCAAGGCGGCAGGTTCTGGGAGGATCGAAGGGCCCTCAGCAAGCCCACCCCCTGCACCCTGAGAAACTCAGCCCAGAGGAAAGGAGCCCGGGAGGAGGCTGGGGTGGGGGCCGGGGCAGCCCCCCCCCCCAGGCCGCCCGAGGCCCAGGAACAGGCTGCAGATGAGGCTGGACGCGAACCCCCCCTGGGCTGCTCAGGGCCCGGGAGGCTGGAGACCAGGTCGAGGACGCCGGCACCCCTGCAAGTCCTGAGCCCTGACCCCGGCCCTGGGTCACGTGTAGCATGTGCCGGCAGAGGACACGCGTGGTGAATCATGTGTGCACTGGCTCATCCGCTTCCTTGTGGATCGTGTGTGTAATCCAGGGGACAGTCGTGTTCCAGGTCAGACCCGAATCATACGGCAGCCCATAGGTGGACGGTGCCTGCATGGGGGTCACATCTGCGCCATCTCACTCACGGGCACGGGATCCTGTGTGTGAATCACGTGTGCTGACTCCTACGTGGACCTGTGTGCTGGCTCATGTGCACATGGGTCACACGTGTCAGCTCTCACACACAGGTTGTGTGGATGGTGTGCACGTGTTATATGTGCATTTGGTGTGCGGTGTGTTTGGTGTGTGCGTGTGCATGTGTGTGGTGCATGTGTGGTGTGTGTGTGTGTGTGTATGTGTGTGTGTGTGTGTGTGTGCGCCGTAGCTCTGGACAGGGCCTGCCCCCTGCTGGGCCCTCCAGAGCACGTGGAGGATGTCACCTGCCATCAGCCCGGCCACGTGGGGTCTCCCTGTCGGTGGCACCCAGGGAACTTGGAGCTGGCGAACGTCCCCTTCCCAGCTCAGCCGTGGCCTCGCCCCCACGCCCGGCCGGCTGCACGCGCCCCCCCACGCAGGACCACGCTCGCTTTCCCCTCATTTTCCTTTCTGGGGGCCCGGGGGCAGCGCTGCTCCACTGAGCCTCAGCCCTGCCTGGCCGGGCCCAGGGGCCATGACACCAGTGCTCCCCCAGGGATGCCCCCTCGCGCCGCCCAGCCCCTCCCGAGACGCGGCCGGTGGGTGACAAGCCCGTCTCCCGCCCACTCCCCCAGGGGGGCACACGCCCACCGCGGGCTCAGCCGGCCTGTGAGCGTGCCACCCCACGGTGCCCGCGTGGCCATGCTGAGGACGGGCCTTGCCGCGCCCCTGCGGGTGCCAGGCGGGCGCCACGGCCGCGGCTCCTTTCCTTTTATGAAGGCGCCCCCCTGTGGCCAGGCGCGAGATTGCACCGGGCTGCCTCTGCAAGAGCCGCAGGACTGGGCAGACCCCGACTGGCCCTCGGGAGCGGTGGACAATGTCCTGCGGTCAGGACAAGCCCATACGCTGCACCGCCCGTGTGGACCCAAAGCCCGAGTGTCCCGGGCCGGCCCATGTGGGGTGTGAAGGTGCTGGGTGCTGGATGCTCGGCAGGGACCGGTCCCCGCGGGTCTGCAGGCCTGGGGCCTCCTGCCGGGACCCGACCCGACGGGGGGGGGGGGGGGGGGGGACGGACTCAGGGGCCAGAGGGGGGCAGAGGGGAGGGGACCGTCCCCCCACAGAGGGCTCTGAGGGAACGTGGCACGGAAGGTCACACGGGAAGGTCACGCACGCGGGCAGGTCACTCACACGGGACCTCACAGGGAAGGTCACACCTGGGAAGGACCTACGGGAAGGTCACGCGCGCAACGTCACACCTGAGGTCCCCCGGGGAAAGGGCGAGGAGGGCGGGCCCATGAGGGGGTTCCGTGCCGGGTGCCGGCGTCCAGCCCCACAGAGGGGCAGAGCTCGGCTCACCAAGCCCGCGGGGTCACAGCTCAGGGCCACACGGCCCCCAGCAGGAGGGAGGGCACAGACGCCCCCGGCAGCCGTGTGGGAGGATGGGGCAGGGGCGTCCTGCAGGCGGGCGGGCAGCCGGGCCCATCTGTCCCCTGCGACCTCGGCGATGGGTCCAGCAAACACTGTCCACGGTCCACAGGGCACCGGCGCCCAGGCTGGACCACAGTGGGAGCGGTGGGTGCAGGACCCGTGGCCACTGCCGCTGGCTGGGATGGTCACCGGGCAGCCGGCAGGGACAGTGCCGGCGAGACGGGCACGGGGACGAGCTGGGACCCCAACCATGGAGCCGGAGCGCTGCAGAGGGGCTGGGCTGTCCCTGTCACGCCCCCTCCCCAGCACCTGGGCACAGTGGGCAGCACGCCGCAGGGGGCGCCCGCTGGCCCCGAACCCGCATCACTGCCCAGGGCCGACACTGTGATGAAGCCGCTTTTATTCGTGGGACTCCACAGGTCCCGAGCCGGGCAAGGCGCTCACGGGGCACCAGCACTCGCCCAGGCTGCCCTCCCCTCCCCCCGGACAGTAGAGAGAGGTCGACCACGGGGGCACCGGGCGGGGACAGCGCCCCCTCGAGGGGGGCAAAGCAAGACATCATGCAAAGACTTCCGGGAAGCCGAGGATCCAGAGCAGACGGGGTCTCCAGGAGCGGAGGCTCGGCCCCCCCACGGAACGGGCGGCCCCAGACCCGAGGAGCGACCGGCACCCGCCCGCCCTCTCGCGGCCCCACGCCGGGACAGAAGGCGCTGAGGCTGGAGAGGAAGCCACGGGGTTTAGTGTGGGAGGGACGGCGGGCGGGGGCGTGGGCGCACACCCGCGGGACCTGGGGCCGAGGCAGGGCGAGGGCGGGCCGGGCTAGCGGGCCCCCTTGGGCGGCTTCTTCTTCTTGGACTCATCCTTCTGCTTGGGCTTCTTTCTCTTGCTGCCTTCTTTGAGTCCTACGGAGACACCGGAGTCACTGTCAGCCCCGCGGGGGGCCCCGCCGGGCGCCCGACTCCCCCGCGGCCCCGCCCCGCCCCTGCCCTCCCGCTGCCCACCAGGGACAAGCGGCAAGGCCGGGCTCAGGAGCTTCTGCGGGACAGGAAGCGACCTCTGCCCGCGCCCCTCACTCGGGGGCTGGTGTCAGCCGGAGAAGCCTCTGCGGGGGCCCACACCGACCGGAAGCCGCCCCAGACCAGGCCCGGCATGCCTACACACACACACACACACACACACACACACACACACACGCACACACACACGCACGCACGCACACGCGCGCGCGGCAGGACTCCTGGGAGCCCAGCGGGACGGGGCTCAGCCTGACAGACCGGGTCCCTGCCCTCTCGGGGGTCACCTGCGGCACACGGTCACGCTGCCAGCAGGCGCCTGGGCAGTGACACCTGGGCCACTCACGCCCACTCCTATTCGGGCGGGGACACTGGGCAGGACGAGGGGAGAGAATGAAGCCCACACAGGGCAGGATGGGGGCTGAGGATGGCAGCCAGGCAGGGCAGACGGGGACAGACAGATGGGGACAGGCAGACGGGGACAGATGGACGGGGACAGACGGACTGGGACAGACAGGGACAGACGAATGGACGGGGACAGACGGACGTGACGGACAGGGACAGACGGATGTGACGGACGGGGACAGACGGACGAGGATAGATGGACTGGGACAGACGAATGGATAAGGACAGACGGACGGGGACAGACGGACTGGGACAGACAGATGCGACAGACGGACAGGAACAGACGGACAGGGACCGACAGACAGGGACAGACGGACAGGGACAGACAGATGGGGACAGATGGGGACAGACGAATGGGGACAGACAGATGGGGACAATCGGCTCCCCAGGGAGCCCCAGGCTCAGTCCTGCGGCCTCACTGTGACTGGGGTCAGGGTGGGCTGCGGGAGGGGACAGGCAGGGCCTGCTCGAGCCAAGGGGCCCTGGGCCCCCAGCAGTGCGGTCCCCAGGCCCAATGAAGGAATGAATGAATGAATGAATGAATGAAGGGCCTCAGTGACGCTGAGGGTCAGTGTGAGCCGTGGGCAGCTGCAGATCCGCCATGCTCAGCAGACAGCGGACAGCGGCCTCCTCAGTGCCGCCTCCGCAGCTGGGCCCCCAGGGGCCCCACACACCCGAGTCGCTGACGCAGAACAGGGGAGCACTGCCGGCTGCAGCATGGCCAACGTGGGGCTCGGATTCCCGACCAGGCGCAGTCACTCACTGCCACCCACGGGAGGTGCCATCTCCGGGCAGGGGTGCTGGGGGTCAGGGGCCGGGGTTGAGGGTCGGGGCTCGGGGGTCAGGGGTCCAGGGCTTGGGACCAGGGACTCGAGGTTGGTCAGGGGCTCAGGGTTGGGGGCGCTAGGGGTCAGGGGTTCAGGGTTCGGGGTTGCTTGGGGGTTGGGGTTAGGGTTGGGCGGTTCAGGGGTCGAGGTCTCGGGGGTCGGGGTCAGGGCTCAGGATTGCTCGAGGTCAGGGCCCTTAGGGCTTGGGGCGCTGCCCGCAGGGCAGGAGAGCCCGGGAGTCTCACGTCGGCCACCCACACGGCTTCTTTGGTTCTCGAGCGCCCTCGGGACGCCCGGCCACCTCTCGGGGGTCACAGGAGGCGGCCGACAGCAGGGGTGGTCAGACTCCCCGGCTGAGCTGCCACACGGGGCCACAGGGACTCAGGACCACTGGGCCACCGCACACCCAGCCAGGACACCCTGGGGACACACAGCACTGCCCCCCTACACACAGGCCACGGCCCGAGGAAGCCCCTCAGCTCCGGCCCAGACAACACGCGTGGAGACACAGGACCCGTTTAATGGCTCGGAGCTCCTGCCGCCCGCCCCTCAGATGAGCACACAACAGGGCAGGAGCCCCGCCTTGTGCCGCCGCTGGCCCGCCCCTCGGGTGGGCTCTGCCTCAGTTTCCCTGCACGCACCAGCCACGGAGGTGGTGGGCTTCTGCCTGTGGGAGATTGTGCGGAGAGTCTCACCAAGGGTGGGCTTTGCCTCAGATTCCCTGCGTGTGCCAGCCGAGGGCATGGTGGGCTTCTGGCTGCGGGAGTTCTCCCCTTGGGTGGGCTCTGCCTTGCTTTCCCTGCGTGCACCAGCCGAGGGCACGGTGGGCTTCTGGCTGCGGGAGGTCTCCCCTTGGGTGGGCTCTGCCTCGGTTTCCCTGCGTGCACCAGCCAAGGGCACGGTGGGCTTCTGGCTGCGGGAGGTCTCCCCTTGGGTGGGCTGTGCCTCGGTTTCCCTGTGCGCACCTGCTGGGAGCACCAAGGGGTCCCAGACACTGGGTGCACGGGGTCGGCCTGGCTCCTCCTGGTCCTCCCAGCCAGGCGGCTGCCCAGCCCTGGGCTTCTGCGTCCGCACGGGGCCGGCGCTGGGCTGGCCGGGCAACATGTTCTGGCCTCGTCGCCGGCACTCCTCAGCCAGGGCCTCCTGGTCCACCACACCTGCAAGCAGACGGGACAGGGTGAGGAGAGGGCAGGGCCGGGCCCAGGCTGCTGGCCGAGACGGCCCCCTGACCATCCCCGGGGCCACACCACCATCTCGGCATCCGCGCGGTGCTGCTCTCAGGGCCTGGACCCCAGCGGTCAGGAGCACGGGGACCCGGGGTGGGGGGGGGGGGGCTCGGGGGAAAGAGGGGAGGGTGGAGGGGACGGGGGCAGCAGGGCGGCAGAGACGCCCGGCAGGGTGTGGGAGAAGCCCTGGGCGCTGGGCCCCGCCCTCTCCTGTCCAGGTGGCTCTGGTGCGGGCCAGCCAGGGGCCCCGGGACACGTGCAGCGCCAGGTGAGTCCAAGCTCCAACTTGCCGGCTCAGCGGAGACGCCCACCCCGAGGCCAAGTCCCGCCCCAGCCTGTGGCCAGTGGCCTGGGAAGCCACGCGGGGTCTGGCAGAGAGGGGCAGACCTGCAGCCTGCTCCAGCCTGGCCCAGAGCCCGGAAGGGGGGTCCCAGCATTCAGGAAAGTAGGCAGGGAATGGACGTGGGTCCAGCCCTTCCGCCTTGCCCAGAGGGCAGTGGGCACACACCCACCTTCAGGACTGCCGGCCGCAGCCCCCCACGACGTGTCAGGGCAAAGGACAAGGGCAGCTGGGCCGGGCTGGGCCTGGGCTGGAGGCAGGACACACCTTCCTGTCTGATGCCCGGTGCCCAGCACTGTCCACGGCGGGCGGCACGGCAGAACAGCGGGTCCCCAGAACCTGCCCACGCAGCCCACGGTCCCTGCTCTGGCTCTGAGGACACAGCCGAGGGTCAAAGGCCACAGGACCCACCCACCCATGCCACATCCCAAGTGAGTGGCCGCCAGGACCCCCGTCCCCGCGCCCGCTGCAGCCAAGGGAAGGCCGTGGAAAGGGAGCACCAGAGCACGGCCCCGGGACACCTCCTGCTCCGCCTTGGGGACCGGCAGACACTGAAGGTGCCTGGGGGCACAGGCCACAGGCCATGGAGCCGGGCCGGGCTGGGGTGCTGGTCCCGGCCACACGCTGGCTCGCCCGCTTCTCTCTGGACAAACGCCTCCGGTCCAAGCACAGGCTCCTGAACAGCCTTTAAAACGTGCCTTGAGGGGCTGGAGTGATGGCACTGCGGGGAGGGCGTTTGCCTTGCACGCAGCCAACATGGCCGACCCTGGTTCGATTCCCAGCATCCCATATGGTCCCCCGAGCACCGCCAGGAGCAATTCTGAGTGCATGAGCCAGGAGTAACCCCTGAGCATCGCCGGGTGTGACCCAAAAAGAAAAAAACAAAACAAAAAAAACGTGCCTTGAGACAAATCTGACTTTTGTCAGCAAGCGTTTGTCTCATCTGCCGATTTTCAGCGCCTACATGCCCTCAGCTGTGTAAGACCTTCCAGGTAAGAGCTCGCCTGAGGGAAACGCGGAAAACCGAGCCCCTAGGCGAGCGCAGCCCAGCGAGACCCGAGGGTGGCCAGAGGGAAGGTCTGTTGCTACAGCCACAGCAAGTGCCACTCGCTGGCTGTCTCCGGTGCGTCCAGAGCAAGTGTCCACACTGACAGTCCACGCTCTGTTCCAGGGGACGCAGCGAGCAGGGCACCTGCCTTGCATGCAGCCAACCCGGTTCTATCCCCAGCACCCCTGACGGTGCCCCAAGCCCGCGGGAGTGACTCCTGAGCTCAGGGCCAGGAGTCAGCCCTGAGCACCGCGGGGTGTGGCCCCAAACAAAAACAGAAACAAGCTGGTGTGGCAGGAGAGTCGCCAATTAGACCAGAAAACAGCCCGGCCACGAGGGAAGTCAGACTCAGAAACAACGCGGTGGCCAGGACCCGGCGCTCAGGAGGAAGCTATGAGAAGAATGTTCGGGCAGCTCTTCCTGGGCCCCTGACTCCCAGGGCTCCAGAGTTCCCCAAATGCAGTGGACATGAGTCTGGCTGATGCTCGGAACGAACTTCAGAGACAAAAGCTGAATCACGGATTGAATCCGATGACGCGCCACCCCGTAACTGTGATCTTTCTGTGATTCAACCAAAAAAACTTTTTTTAAAGAGCAACCGAATCCCTTCCTCTAAAGATGCAGCATCCAAGAAGTCTCGTCCTGGCTTTTCTTTCTCTTTTCTTCTCTTTTTTGGTTGCACTCAAATCACGGAAACCACTAGTGCAGCCTGAAGCTGTGCAGACCCCGAAACTCCTGAGAAGGACAAGGTCCGGAATCTCGCCCGAGCGGCCTGCTCTGCTTCTGAGCGACCGTGCTGACGGGCACCTGCAGAGCAGAGCAGGCAGGGCGAGGCCACAGGCCCCTGCTCGGAGCCCAGGGCAGAAAGGAGGGGGCCGGGAGTGCGTGGACAATCGGGCAGCGCAGCCCAGGGCGTCTCCCAGCCTGACTCACTCGCCCGCCCGGCACACCTGATGTGACCCAGTCCTGCTGCGGTGCCCCCGCCTGGCCCATGCACACGGGGTCCTGGGGCAGCTGCCTGGACCTGGCTGAGTGGGCGTGTGGGAACACCTGGTGCAGAGACCGCGGCTGGATGGCACAGGGCGGAGGGGCTAAGGTGGGCACTGTCCTGGCAGGCCCGAGGGGGCGGAGCTGAGGAGGGGACGGGGCCTGGGCGGGAGCCATTCCACACTCTCTCACTTGGGGAGCACAGTCACAAAATCGCATTTTTCTTGACACCTCGTTCAACCCACGGCAAAACCCCAGATAAGGGATTCAAGCGGCTTCATCAAGTTCTCCAGATGTCTTTCAACACTGCTGTGTGTCCGGACACTTTCAATAAGCCCGTTTCGGGCTGAGCCGTAACAGGCCCCAAGGAACGCGCCAGCCATTTCCACAGAGGCCACCCGGCTGGGGAGGGGCCCCACCCCGCAATGTCCATCCTGGAGGCAGCCCAGGGCGTTCCCCTGCAAGCCCAGCTCGGCACATAGCAGGACTCACGCCAGAACGCCCAGGAGGACGGCTGGTGGCACGGGGGAAGGGCAGTCACAAAAGCCAGCCATGGGCCGTGGACAGGCACACGGGGGCCCCGGGGAGCCCCCCAGGAGTGGAGAAGCCCAAGCTAGCGGCAAACAGCCGCTTCTCTGAGCAATATCCGCAGCACGGCGCCGCTCCGAAGGCCGACTTCTGGAGGCAAGCGGAAATGTGAAAAATACAAAAATGCCCTGAAAATGGGGAGGAGAGGCGCCAGAAGCTCCCTCAAAGAAATCCAAAAGGCCAAAAGGCACAAGAAAACAGGCCGTGCCACCAACCACCAGGGAGAGGCAGGTCAGAGCGATGTGCGCTGCCATCCCACAGAGCAGCAACCAGTGCTGGCCGGATGCGGGAGAAAGGTCCCCCCCGCACGCTGGTGGGAACGCCACTGGACATCCCAAAGAAACCTGGGAACTGCCCCGCCTCTTCTGGAGATTCGAAATCAAAACAGAGACCTGAGTTTCGCACTCCGCGTCCTTGTCAACCACCCGCGGTGCCACAACCGGAAACAGCCCGAGTGTCTGAGCACAGACAACAGGATAGAGCAGCCAGGGCCAGACGCACAGTGGGCAGGACCGCCGGGAGGGCCAGTCGGCAGGGCGCTGCCCCACAGAGTGAAGCGGGTCCGAGAGGGCGGCACAGTTTCCCACACGCGGGTGCACGGACGCACGATGGGGGGTCATGAAGACAGTGGAAACAAAGAACACGGAACTGGCCTTCGCTGGGACACCGGGCACTGAGGGCCCAGGGCCAGGGCAGGGCGGGCAGCGGCTGTGGTGGAGGGAAGAGCGACCGGGAGGAGGGTGCTGACAGGGTCCCATGTCACGCTCGACGCCCTATTGGAAACGGACTAACCCACGGTTCAGAAACACAGACCCGGGCCAGAGCGCAGGACAGCAGGTAGGGCACTCGCCTTGCACACAGCCGGCCGGGGTTCGAGAATTCCTGAGTGCGGGCCCAGGAGAGGGCCCTGAGCAGTGTGGGTGTGGCCCCCACCCAGGAACTTCACCTGCACCTAAAGCACGTAAGTGGTCTATGGAGAGAGGAGCTGAAGTTAAAAGAAACAAGACTGAGCGGGCACTTTTTAAAGAAAAATTAAAAAAAAAAAAAAAAAAGGAAAATTAAAAAAAAAAAAGTGAATTTTTTTGAAAGTTGGGTTCAAAAGTAGTTTCAATGATTTACACTGGTGGGAACCAGAAAAGGGTATTGCAAAGGCTAAGGCACTATGCCTAACAGCCCTATGGCCGCCCCCAGCGCCCCCAATGGGCCCCAAGCAGAACCAGTGCACCCCCAGAACCCAGGGAGCAAGGCCCGGCACCTGAAGGAGCCACGGCGCCATGTGACGTGACTGCGTACACCCAGGGTCCAGAGTGACCCGCGGCAGCCAGTCGGGGCTCAACTCCCAGCTCCACGGATGGTCCCCTGAGCCCACAAAAAAAAAAAAAAGCTGCAAATATTTTACAGAAACGGTTAACAGAAAGAGAAAATGTTTCGGATATTCATTAAGAGTCTTAGAAAACTGTTCCCAAGAAACTAAAGCGCCACTTGGCTGGACTGGAGCGACAGCACAGGGGGGAGGGCATTTGCCTTGCACATGGTTGACCCGGGTTCGATTCCCAGCATCCCAGAGGGTCCCTCAAGCATCACCAGGAGTAATTCCTGAGTGCAGAGCCAGGAGGAACCCCTGTGCATTGCCAGGTGTGACCCAAAAAGCAAGTTAAAAATAAAGAGGAGAGAGAGAGAGAGAGAGAGAGAGAGAGAGAGAGAGAGAGAGAGAGAGAGAGAGAGAGCGCGTCACTTGGCAGTTTCTCCGCGGAGTGTGGGGACACGGGCTACGAAGACAGGGCCATGTGGGGGAGGACCAGCCAAGCAGAGTGGCAGGGAAGGAAGGACAGACGGACGGGTGGGTGGGGAGGAAGGCGTGCTGAGGCCAGGGCTCCTGTGGGCGCATCCAGCCTTGGCCCTGCCGACCTGGGGCCCTGGGGAGCCGCCAGAGCTGCAGACCTGGGAATCCGCGGGGGTACCAGGGCCCCTGGGGACTGAGGACGGCCAGGGGAGATGGTCAGAGCGAGGGGGGGGAACGACAGTTCAAGCCCCGCCCTGTCCTGGCCAGCACTGCACGGTCCCCCAAGCACTGCCAGGAGTGACCCTGAGCTACCAGCCAATGGCCCCCACCCCCACGTGCCAGAGCACTGGAGAGAGAGCCGGTGCTGTGTGGGAGGGGAGGTGTCTGCTCGCGTCCAGCACGGGGGGGGGGGGGGGGGGCAAGAACATTCTTTGGACAGGAGGACCAGGGAGACGGCTCTGGGCAGGTCTGCAGCGACACACAGTGACACCCACCCCTGGCCCCTGGAGTCTTCCGTAAGGGGATCCTGCCACAGTGGTCACACAGGGGACACTCTGGGGAGTGCGGGGAGGGGGGACAGAGGACGGGGAAGGCCTCACACAGCGCCAGAGCCAGGACTCTGCCCGACCCCAGGCAGCGGCGTGACTGAGCAGGGCGGGACGCACGGTGTTCTCAGGGGGTGGCCAGGGAGGGCACCGCGCCAGCATCGTCCCGCGTCCTTGGAGACCAGGCACACGGCAGCCGGGAGCAGGACATGGGCCAGCGCCCCGGGGAGGGCCGGACCCTCAGCTGGGTGGGCAGGGCAGATGCAGCCAGGCCCCACAAGGGCTGCTTCCAACCAGCCGGCCAGGCTGTGGGCGGGGGCCCAACCTCCACGGGGACCGTCCACGCACGGCCCCATCCATGCTGCACACGGACGTCCACGGTGAGACACTCACGCGGGAATGGGGGGTAGGGCGGCTGCCAGGTACCCGCCGGAGGAAACGGTCACTCTCCTCATGGCCAGCACAGGGGCCCAGGCCTGGGAGCCGACCCACGGCAGCCAAGTCGGGAGCGGGCCCCGGCAGAGGTGGCGCAGGCGCGCGGGCCGGCCGGGCCTCCGGCGGGACGCCAGCTATCTGCGCTGGTCTGTCTCCAGGGGTGGCGTCGGGGACACGGCAACTGCCCGGAGAGGGGCGGGAGGGCGCACGCGGCCCCGGCTCTATTTCCAGAGGCAAATTAATCCTCTGGGACAGAAACTCAGAACAACTCAGAACAAGCTGCGGTGTTCATCAGGCGGGAAACGCAGTGTCTCTGGCCGGGCCAGGGATCGAGGGCAAAGCGGGACCCGGCCGAAGCCAGCGTCGCCCTCTGCGCCGGGTCAGACAGCGAAGGAACCGCAGACAGACGTGGCGAGGCTGAGCTGCGGGCACAGTGCTCACAGCACCCAAGGGAGGTGCCCGTGTGCAAGGGTCTGGCTAGGACGCCCCACCCCTGCCCTGCCCACAGCCCCCTCCCCGCCCTCCCTCCTCCAAGGCCCAGGCTGTCGATCCCCTAAGTGACAAAAGGAATGAAAGCCCAACAGGAGACCAGAAACCGCAGCCCTGGCCTCTCACCTGCCAGGGCGACCGGCCGCACCCGCCCTGACGGACCCCAGGCCCCTGCACAGCCCCTCCGACCCCCTCCCCAGGTACCCCAGGGCACAGATGTGCTTGGAAACCCCTGGGCTGGCCAGCAGGGCCCTTCTCAGTCACGCGTGGGTCCCTTTCACCCGCGTGCTGAGAGACGCCCAACAGAGCCAACCACACCGCTTCTCCAGCACGCACGCCGCATGGAACAGGGGCTCCCATGAAGGCGCAGCTCTGGGGGGTGGGCGGAGACATGAGCACCCCAGCCAGGACCCAGAGAGGCAGAGCGACTTGCCAGGGGCCGCCGCCCGCCAGCTCTGAGCCCTCTTATCAAAGGTCTCCAGAACGGCTCAAAGAACAAACCACCAAACTGTGCCAGTGAGACAACCTCAGGCTAACGCTCCGTGGCCTCCTCAAGGCGGGGCGGGTCGACCTTCCCCGCGGCATAGTCAAGGGCCAGCCCCCCCTCAGGACCGAGGGTCAGCAAGTCCAGAGCATTAGACGGGCGGTGCGCAGGAGTCCCCAAGTTCTAGAGTGGAAACGGGAACAGACAGGTTCAAGCAGCAGCCCCGAACTCAGGGACACCAGACGGAACGAGCATCCAAACGGGCTTGGTCGCCCACTTCCTGTGACTCTGCTATGGGACAGCGACAGGCCAGGCTTGTGGGGTGGGGAGGAGGAGGTCACTCGCGTGGGACTAGCACGGGACAGGGTGCCCGAAACAACTGCACCACCATCGACTCTGTACCTCGATGTCATAATTCTTCTTAAAAAAGGCACAAAGGGGCTGGAACAGCAGCACAGCGGGAGGACGTCTGCCTTGCAGGAGGCAGACCCGGGCTCCATCCCCGGCATCCCTGAGGGTCCCCCGAGCACCGCCAGGAGGGATTCCTGAGTGCAGAGCCAGGAGGAACCCCTGAGCACGGCCAGGTTGACCCAAAAAGGAAAAAAAAAGGCACAGAGGGGGCCAGAGAGACAGCACAGCTGTGAGGGCTCTCACTGTGCGCATGGCTGACCTGGGCTCGAGCCCCTTCTCCCGTGTCTGGGGTGGTCTCCTGAGCCCGTCAGGAGGAAGCCCTGAGCACTGCTGGGCAGAGTCCAAAAAACGAAGATTTTACAAGGCACATAGAATGGGACAAACAGATGAGAGCTGGGCCTGAATCGATGTTCTTAAAGTCTCGAGGGGTGGGGCTGAGAGGCCCAGACCACACCCCACTCCCCTCGAGGCCCCGGCTGGCCCCGTCTCGGGTAAAGGCCTCGACTGCTCTCTGACTCAGGCAAAGGCCCTGAGGTTTCAGACCGGTCTCCTGGCACTACCGCCCCAGCCTCCTCGGACACCGAGGCCTCCCTTGGAACGTGTCCTTGGGCGCAGATGCGTCCGCGCGCAAGGCAGGAGTTGGTTACCTGCCCGCTGCCGGAGGGGCTGGGCCCTGTCCGTGACTCACCCGCCCACGGATGAGTAAAGGCGATCCCAACAATCCCCAGTTGTTTTCTGGAGCTTCTCACGGAACACACGGACGCCCATGTCTGCTCAAGCAGAGGTGCCGGGACAGGAGCCGCAGAGCTGCCCCGCGGGACTGCGCCCAGGGCCCGGCGCGGGGCCACACGAAGCCGCCCCCGCTTCTGACGGCCAACACGCACGCTGACTGCAGGCCGCCTCCTGCGGCTTCCTCGGATTTCTACCACGCCCAGATTCTGGGCCAAGGGGCTGCTCCAAGGGCGGGAGGGCGAGGCAGGGGCGCCACAGAACAGGCACCGGTGGGTGTGGTGTGGTGACCCCCAGACAAGACCGCGTCTTCTGACAACACACCCTTCCGTCAAGAGCAGGCGCGGTGCCCGGACGGTCCCTCCCGCCGTGCTCCACCAGGGCCCCCACCCAGCGCCCGCAGAAGCGGAAGCCCCCGGGACGCGAGCACACACGTCCGGAACAGCTACAGAAGGATCACACAGTGTGACAAAGCGTAGATGCTTCTCCCCCCGGAAGAAAACATCCAGTCAGCAGCCCACCGTTCCCTGCAGAGCACTGGGTGGCGAGTCCAGCAGCCGCCGTCCTGACCAGCCGCAGCCGAGGCCCGGGCACAAACTCACACAGACACAGGAGACCGCAGGGCCCCGCGGGAAGAATGCACCAACACATTCGCATTTATTTTCTTTTTTCTTTTCTTCCTTTTTTAAGCAAACGACAAAGACCCAGTTTACCAACTTTACTTCTTCACCCCAGGCTTAACAGTACATATTTAAACAATGGTCAAGACTCACTGTGTTGCCAGCATTCATGCACAGCTAGAAAAACATCCTCGATTTATATTAAACCAGAAATGTGTTACCGACAAGGCATTAATATCTTTCACTACTAAATACTGAAAAACTGAAATTACTGAGTGGACGATTCATCCCGGCAATGTCAGCGTCACAGCAGGGTGACTACTCGGCTCGTGGGACGCAATGGGAAGCAGGTCCGTGCTGGTGTTAGTGTACGAGAAAGTCACGGCCACCTTGGATCACGTTTAATAAAAAAGCAAAGTGCATACAGAGATTTACAACGATTTCAAAGACAAAAAAAAAGTTCTATCGTGTGGTCCCATCAATCAACTTAAAAGTCTACGACGAATCGGGCTCCGACGAGCTGTTTATAAATACTTTAGATTAGACAGTTACACGGAAAGTCGAGTCCGTTTGAAATCTTCAAAAAAAGGTTCCTGTTACTCCTGACACGGTGCTCGTTACGAAAACGCTCGGCCAAGCGCGTGCGTCCAGCTACTTGCTATCCAAGCGCAGCAGCTGCTCCTTACCATTGATCGTCAGGGACTTGAGCTGCCCGTCCTCCTCCACCTCGACTCTCTCCTGACCGTTCTCCACGATCCTGCGGGCGAGAGTCGCGTCGGTCACCGGGGAGGGGAGGCCCGCTCCCAAGCAAGACCAGCCACGCCCACGGAGCCAGCCTGCCCGCAAGGAACCTTCCCCAAAGCCTGCTGGGGGGTTAGTCTCCAAGGGCCAGGCACGGACCCAGCGAAGGCCGCGAGCGTCCCGGCACCTGGACATCTGGGAGGAACGCCTGGCCATCGCGACCGCACCCCGGCCCTGAGCGCACATCACCGCCACCCCACGTGCCTGTTTCTCCTGACACACAGACCCACGGGCCAGGAGTACGGGAGACTAACGGGCAGCGGGAAGAAGACCCGCCCAGGCGCTCGCTCGGAGAGGGGAAGGAGCCCCGAGCCCACCCCACCCACCCCCTCCGGGCACATACCTCTTGGTGGTGACTTTTCTGCCGTTGACTATCTTGGTGGAGGTCGATATCGACTTGAAGGAGCCCGTCCCACTCCCTCCGAAGGCCGAGGAGGAAAAGGACGTGAGGCCCCCATGGCCGAGGGACCCGAAGGAAGTGAACCCTGCAGGGACAGGGGACAGGAGTGCTGTCAATCCCAGTCCCGCGGAGCCACGTCCCGGGGGCAGCAGCCGGGGGGCTCCCGCGCCCTCAGGGCTCCCCCCTCCCTGCGATGCCCCCGAAGGCCCGCGGCGAGGCGGGTCCCAGCAGTCGGACCCTGATGCCCAGACGAGCAAGCCAACCTGACGTCAGCACTGGCTCTTTGAGGAAAGGCTCCCACCTGTCCACGCTCAGAGCGCGGGCAGAAACAAGGACTCCCGACTCCGGGCTCCACCAACGCCGACATGGGCCGTGCTGTCCCGTTAGAAAGGAACTGGCGGGGCTGGGGGGCCGCACACTGGCCAGCACTGGCCCCGCACATGCTGACCGGGCTCGACCTGCACCCCCGATGGTCTGCCAAGCACCGCCAGGGGTCACTGCCGAGGGCGGGGTCGGGAGGAACCCCTGAGCCACGCCAGGGATGACCCGAACGACTTTTCAAAAAATAAACCGGCAGGCAAAATAGCAAAGGGGGTCAAAGTGCTGGCCGTGCACCCGGCCGACCCCGCTCAGTCCCCGGCACCATGCAGGGCCAGTGCCCGGAGCAGAGCCAGGAAGGCCCCACACAAAGGCCTGCGAGCGGCAGCCAGAACAGCCACGTGGCGTGGCCTCTGGCCAGGGGCAGGCGGACAGGCGTGCCTGCACACGGCCAGCCCGCACACCCCCATGGCACCCGGGCACTGCCGGGAGGGGTCCTGGCAGAGCCACCCGGGTCGGACTGTCCGGTCCGAAGGAACAAAACGCAAACGGCCCCAACGACCCTTCTGACTGGCACTGACTTCTGTGCAGACACTGGAGCGGTCCGCCAGGGAGACAGCACCTGTGTCAAAAGAAGAGAATCCGCCTCCGAAGGATGGAAATCCACCGAACGCAGAGAAGAACGATCCTGTGCCTCGGCTCCGGCTCCCACGAGGGCCTCGACGACCACCGAAGAAATCCTCGAATGGGTCCTCTGTGAAGACAAGCACACGAGACGCTCAATCCAGCTCCTCCTTTTGCGGAAGAAAGAGCTGGAATAAGGAAGACGTGTTGATGCCTCGTAACAGTGTTTCACCAGAGACAAGAAATAGCAAGTTCCACAAAGAGACGGAGCGTGTCAACAGAACCAGACGAAGAAACCCCCAACCGATTCAACAGACTCTTCTATCCAACGGAGACGAGAATGCGTCAACAGCAGCCCGGTGGAGGGGGCTCCTGCCCGGCACACACCCAACCCACTGCCAGCACCCCGTAGGGCCCAAGCCTGCCGGGAGAGCCCACCTACCCCCAGTGAGTAGCACCAGGACTTCACAGGTGGATTCTGCTCCAGGGGTGTTTCATGAGTCCCCTTTGACTGGACATACTGATCCCTGAGGACAGGCGGGAGCAGGCCCTGAGCCCTGCTGGGTGCGGCCCCAACGTGGGAGGGAGAAAGAAAGAATCCGCCCGACTTCTCTGCGAGCCTAGATCTCAAAAGTGGTACAAAGGGGCCACCAAAACCAAGTCTAAAGAAATATCCACTGCATAAAATTATGCACGTAAGAGAAAACTGTCTGCACAGTCCACATCCTACGAAAAGATGAACGATTCCCGAAACACAAAAACACCATCCCCACGTTCAGGGGCAGTTCTTTTTTGGAGGCGGCAGTGGGAGGAGGAGGGAGGGTGACGAGCAAGCCCTTCCGAAGAACACAGCGTCACACAAACTCTCTCGCAAAGCGACACGCTGGGGCTGCAGGGACTACGTGTCGCGGGAAGGACGCAGACCCAGGCTTGACCCTGGCCCGCAGAGTCAGGAGCCAGCCCTGAGCGCTGCTGGGTGTGGCCCAAATACCACACCAACAAAGAGACGGAGAAATCACTGCAGTGCAGACTCCTGGGTGCTGGGAATGCGCCTGGCACTGCCACAGAGTGCCACCACCGTCACCAGAGCAAACACGGGCACGGCAGAACCGATACGGAGTGCAGACTGGCCACACACACAGCTGCCCTGAGTCAAGCGTGACCCGAGCAAGGCCTGGCCAGCCCCGGCAGCCGCTCTGAGGGAGGCGCGGGCTGAGAGCGCTTCTGGCCGGAGAGGGGCGGCAAGCCCCTGGCTGTGTCTGCAAAGACGACCTTGCCCCCCAAACGTGCAGTCCGGTCCTTGCTCTCCCCTGCCAGCCTGATCCGCAGGGAAAACCCTAAGGAAACTGGGCGAGAGGCTGGAGAAACAGGCCAAGACTAGGGCCCCTGCCTCGCTCCCCCCAAGCCCCAGACCAAAGAAAAGTACCTGCACGCGTTTCATCACCAGGCTGACTGACTGCCCGTGTTCACACGTGCCAGGCCGCGAGGGGGGACCCTAAACTCTCTAACGCTCGCGTGAGTGAGCTTCCCGCACATGGCACTGCGTCCAGGCCCACCCCACACATCCGTGCGCCTGATCCTCACCGGTCACAAGCAGCTCGCTTCCAGCCTGGCTTGACCCCCCACATACCAGAGGGGCCCCACCAGGAGCGATGCCGGAGCAGAGCCAGGAGTCAGCCCCGAGCACGGCCAGATGTGGAGCCGACCCTACACTGAGCTGCGAGCACTCCACCCCGGAGTCTGCCGCCCTTCTGGAGTGCTACTACCGTGTTCCTGGGATGTCGCTACTGTGTTCCTGAGGTGCTGCTACTGTTTCTGGGGAGCAGCTACTGTGTTCCTGCGGGTGCTACTGAGTTTCTCCTGTCAGGGCCACAAAGATGAGCCCCACCACAATTTCTTCTGTGTTTTTGGGCCAAACACTGCAAGTGCCCCGGGATGACTCCTGGTGGGATTCTGGGGGCCCGAAGGGATGCCAGGGACCAAACTGGCTCAGATGTGCGACTGACTGAGAGCAGACACTGACAGACAGATGCGGAGACAGAGGGGGAGACTGACAGACGGGGAGAGTGACAGAGCGCAGGAGGTGACGGCACAGCCGACTCTCCACGGCCACGTGGCCAACTGGTCGGACAGTTCCGTGACCAAGCTCTGCTGAGTGGGCAGTTTCCAAAATCAAGTGATCCAATTTCTGACACTTGCTTCAGAAACAGAAACAAATGAGCAGGAACCGTTTCCTGAGAATCCGAATCCGGAACTCTTACTTAGAAAACAAAAACAAAAACTCTCCTCGAGGCCCGGACTCGCTTGGCCTGCGGTCAGGCTGACTGGCCCGGGCAGCGCCAGGAGTGAGCCCTCCTCGTGCTCCGGGAGAACAGACAGCGGGGCCGGCCAGAGGGGCCATCGACAGAGAGGAGGAAAGAAGAACCACCCTCTTACGGGCCACCTGACACCAGACGACGCCCTCACCGCGCTGGAGAGCGAGGCAGGCACCCCCGCTGCCACGCTCAGGACACAGAAGGGCCCCACGCAGTGCCAGGAGTGGAGTCAGCTGACACACGGGCACACGTGGCCAGGACAGATGGGCCCCTGGGGAGGCTTCCGGCAGAGCAGGGAGCCCTCGAGGGATCCATCCGGGGGACTGTCGGACGCAGCACCAATGCACTCTGTGGCCGTCCACAAAAAGCCTCAGCACGGTGGTGCTCCCTCTGCCTGGACTCTCGGCTGCCCCGGCTGGAGCCGGGAGCACCAGGCCAAGGGGGGACTCAAGCCCAGCGCACGCAGGGCAGCCCTCAGTGTCCAGAGGACAGGCCGCAGAGCACAGCCGGGAGGCACTCGCCACGCACAACCAAGCAGGTTCGATCCCCGGCATCCCAGAGGCTCTTCTGGACCCGTCAGGAGTGATCCCTGGGCACAGAGCCAGGATCAGTCCCGAGCACCACTGGGTACGCACCCCCTCCAACCGAACCCCCAAAGCAGACAGACACCTCTGAGAACAGAACAGAACTGTGGCCACACAGGCACTTCTCTTCTGAGGACCATGAGGTGACTAACACAAGGCTGGGGTCCTCGCCCTACTCGCAGTCGAGCCCGGTTCGAACCCCACGAGGCACCATCGGCCCGAGCACCACCAGGTATGGCCCACCCCCAACACAGACGGTTCTCGGGTCAGAGAGAACATGGCGGGCAGCCGAGGGCACCTGCCCCGCACACGCTCGGCCCGGGTTTGAGCCCCGACACCAGGCCCTGCCAGGAGGGACCCCTGGGGCTCAGAACCAGGGTGAGGCCCCCGAGCCAAAGGTGAAGAACTGAACGACTACACGCCCAGCCACAGACACGCACAAGCAGAAACCGGAGGGGCGTGGAGCGAACACCCGGAGACACGGCCTGCTGCCTGGGGCGGGGGGGGTTCCCCAGCCCCCCGCAGGGCTGCGAAGAACACAACAACACAGATCCGTCACGGGCCTGGTCCTCCGTGAGGCTGAAGACAGATGGACTCAGGTACTGGGCGACCCCGCCCTTGGTCGCCCCGTGCCGCCGCTCCCGCTCGACCTCCACACCCAGGGAGACGCCGCGGGAACCCGCCGGGCTCAGGGAAACGGCCCCACGCCACGGGGCCCTCAGAAGCGGGCGGACCAGGGAGGGGCTCGCCCGGCTGCACTCTGTTCTCTCTCCAGAAAGGACCCTGCTCGCCCGGAGGGTGGCGGGGCAGCACCTGGGCTCAGGTGGGAAGGACTCAACCCACCTGTCTAGGTGGGGGACACTTACCGGCCCCGCCCCCTCCAGGGCTGCCTCTGCGGCTGCAGGCACAGGAAGTGACGTCTACAGGGACACATCCGTGTCCATCCGGGCTCCCGGGCGGAGCTGGCGTGAGGGGCCTGGGCCGGCCCACGCCCAGCTCTGCGCCCCGTCCTTTCCTCCTAGGACGGCTGCTCTTTACGGGTTTCTCAGGTCCCCCTCGGAATCTGCGGCTTCCCAACCGCTGGCGCCCCTCTCGGGCCCGAGGACAGAAGGCAGGCTGGTGCCCCCCGAGCCGCGCCCGAGCCCCCACCCCCAGGCGCGAGGGAAGCCTGCCGCCCGCCCCTCGCCGGCCTCCTGGCTGCCCTCGGGACCCGCCCGTCCTCCAGAGAAGCGTCCAGCAAGCGCAGGGCCAGGCCGGCGGATTCGCTTTATTGCACGCCCGCCCGGGGGCCCGGGGGCTCCTCCTCGCTGGGCAGCTCCTCGCAGGCCTCGCTGAGCCCGTCCTCGCTGGAGACGAGCTCCAGCTCCTCGCTGGGCGGCTCCTCGGCCCAGCCCAGGCTACAGCCCTCGCTCAGCTCCTCGCTACACACATCGAGCTCCTCGCTGGACACCACGTCCAGCACCTCACTGTCCGCGTCACTCGGGCCGTCCTCCAGGGCCTCCTCACACCCGGGCTGCTCTAGCTCCTCGCTAGGCTCCAGGTCCTCACTGGCCACCTCCTCGGACCCTGGGGAGCAGAAGGGCGGCTCACCGCGCGGCAGGCGCCCAGCCGCCCACCGCGCTGCACGCCGGTCCCTTCCCGTGAGCCGGCACGAGGGGAAAGGCAGGCCAAAGCAGAAACAGAACTCTGGAAGCAAAACTAAGTCTGGCTTTGCCTTTCCAACGTGAGACCCGCATCTTCCCTCGGAAGCCGGACCTCCAAGAGCCACAGCACAGGGGGGAGGGGAGGGCGTCTGCCTTGCGCAGCTGACCGGGCTCGGCCCCCGGCATCCCGGACTGCCCCCTGGGCACAGGGCCAGGAGAAAGCAAGCCCTGAGCACTGCCGGCTGTGACCCGAAAAGCTCAAGGGAAAAAACCTGGACCTAGAGAATGCTTCCAGAAGCCTGGCTCTGGCAGCCCCGGGCTCCCCGGCGGTGAGCAGCTGACTCTTCCCTCTCGCGAGTAACCAGATCACCCAGAGTCAGACCCACGGCCACTGCTGTGAAGAGCTCACCTACCCTGCGTCCCTCCAGGGAGAGGAGGACTGAAACAGCGGCCTGGGGACCAGGACAGGGCTGACCCCGGACCCCACGGGGTCCCCTGAGCCCCAGCAGGAGTCACCCCTGAGCACAGAGCCAGGAGTCACCCCCGAGCATCACCAGGTGTGGCCCCAGATTAAAAAAAAATAGCCAGTGGCCTCGAGACTGGGGTGCCACCCCCTGGGTGCAGAACGGACCCTGGGCTCGTCTCGGAAGCGGGGCCCGCCGGGGGAGGGGTCCTCAGTTGGCCCTGCCGAAGCCCGTGTTCCCAGGGTCCTGGCGGAGCTGGGGTGCCACCGCCCTGACTCACTCAGGTCCACGCTGGACGCACCGCCAGCGGGCTGCACGGTCACCTCATACACGTAGTAGCCGTGGGGCAGCTTCCTCTCCTGGGTGCAAATCCTGAGGGCCTGAAAATGGAAGTCCCCCAGGACACCTACGGGAAGGACAGACGCGTCACTGCCACACCGCTCGTCAGGGCTGTCACCGACACATGGAGGCCGAGTGACCATGGGGCCGACCCGGGGCAGAAACGGGCGCCGTGCTCAGACGCCACAGAACTCCCGCTGCAGGACGGGTTGAAAAGCCCGGAGCAGACACCCACTCACACACCCACCGTCCACGCGAGGAGACAGGGCTGGTGTCAGAGCTCCCCATCAGTTTCACCCCAGGGAAGCAAGATCCGGCTCGACTGGTCCTTAAGGGCCTCCCCCGACCCACTCCTTCCGTTACAAGTCGGCTGAGGCAGGCTGCAGAGACAGGACAGGGACTACGGCGCTCACTGGGAATGCAGCCACGTGAGATTCGATCCCCAGGGCACCGCAGCTGTAATTTCCCCCCCCACCCCCCCAGAAGGAAACCCACACACAGGAAAGGCAACGCTGAGGCCTGAGGCGGCCCAGGGCCATCTGCTGGGCGCACAGCTGAGGAGTCCAGCCCAGGCATCTCCCACGTTCTAAGCAGCCCCAGCAGTGACCTGAGCAGCCGGGACCAAGCCCTGGGCACCATGGGTGTGGCCCAAGAACATAAGGAGGGGGGTGATCCCGACACCCTGAAGCCCCCTGGGGACAAACTGATGCAGCGCTCGCCCCCGGAACCGGGGGCGGGGGGGGGGGGGGGGGGGGAGACGGGCTCCAATCTCGCCTCCGGGAAGGCCGCGCTGCCCCTCGGCCTCTCAGGCGGCTCTGGTCAGAGCATGCAGCACCCACCCTGCAGAGCTGCCCCCTCACGGCCAAACCAGCGCAGTGCGCCCAGGCCCGGGCAGGAGACGGCTCAGACCCACGTCTTCCCAACTGGGCCAGGGCCTTCTGTCACCTGAACCCGACTCCGGCCCAGCACCATCACGAAGCTCGCTGGGCAGATCCCACGTCTGAGCCCTCAGCGGCCACCTGAGACGCCACAGGGCAGCTGCTCCTGGCGGGCATGCAGAGCGGGCGACGTCTCCGCGGCACACTCAGGCCCGACCCGGAGCCGGGAGGCTTCCAGACGCCGGCCGGGCCAAGACACCAACTTCAACAGAACAGCCTGGACTCACCGAAGAAGTCGAAGGAAAACGGGTCCCGTCCGCCGAAGAATTCCCTGAAGACATCCTCCGGGTTACGGAATGTGAAGCCGTACTCAAAAGGCCGGTCAAAATGGCTCCCACCTGCGGGGCAAGCAGAGTCGTCCTCAGGGAGCGGCCGGGCCGGGGGAGCCCCAGGAGCCGCCCCAGCACGACCCCGGCCTGGCCCCTTCTCTTCTCGTGAAGCCCTGCACGGCCCGCAGGCTCCCCCGCTGTCCACGGGCCCTGTGGCCCCTCCCAGACGCCCTGGGGCCAGCCCAGGCCCCTCCCGCTGACCGTCCCCGGGAAAGGCACTGGCCTCGCCGAGCGGGGCTCAGGGAGGGCCACGGCAGAGTCCTCCGGGAAACCCGCGTCCTGACAGAACTCGGGGCGCTAAAGCACGCAACCCCACGGGGACGCTACGCCAGGCCCTCTCTTCGCTTTCCCTACAGGAGGCGCATCGGCCTTCGGGCACAGTGGCACTTCAGCTGGCTTCGCGGACGCGAACTGGTCCTTCCTCTCCCCGGCTTGGCCCGTCTCAGACCACAGCGGGGCCGCCCGTACCTACCTCCACCTCCGCTATTTAATCCTTCTTTGCCATATTTGTCGTAGATGTCCCGTTTTTTTGCTGTGAATACAAAAAGAAGTCAGAAAGGACCAACTCTTCTCTTTTCTTGGTTCTGGGGACCCTCTAAGATGCCAGAGACTGAATCCAGGTGAGCCGCATGCAAGGCGAGCGCTCGGCCCACTGTACTGTCTCTCCAACCCAGTACCAAGTTTTTCTTATTCAAAATTCAATAATTACTTCCCAACTGGTCGAGTCAAAGAAAGTACCGATTTTTCACTGTGCCCGCTGGGGACTCAGAGCTCCGGCTCTTGAGTCTCTGCCCTTTTGGTGTTGGGCCACACCCAGCTGGCGGGGCCCGGCCTCGAGCCACCAGCCCAGCCCTCCCTCCTGGTCCCAAGTGAAAGGGAAAGAGGGATGCGAGCTTGGGGCCACGCCCGCGTGAGGGGTCCAGGCGGGGCCAGCGCCGAAGCTCGTCACAGACCACTGGGCGACTACACTTGCGCAAGGGGGCTGAGGGCAGGTGAGACCCCAAAACCAGGTGAAGGTGGAGCTTTGAAAGGGGTCACAGTGATCCAACCGTGGGGAGGCACTTGTCCTGCATGCGGACAACCCAGGCTTCATCCCAACACCCCGTCATGGTGCCCGAGCACACCAGGGTGACCCTGCGCACAGTGGGTGGGACCTGAACGCCAGTAAGTCAGTCAGTCAATAAACAAACACATAAAGCCTGCTCCGATCAATCCCCTTCCTGCGGCAAAACCAGAAGTGCGCTCCCAGGCTGCAGACTTAACGCCCCACGAGGCGTGCTTGCAGGGCAGCGTGGGTGTGTCTGGGCCAGGGGTGGTCACTGGCCACCTGCAGGCCCCCCAGGCAGGAGATGCCTGATGCCTGATGCCCACGGACCCCAGCCACTGGCCCTGAGCACGCTCTCAGCCGCCAACAAGCTCTCCTGTCTGGGCACGGCAGAAGGCCCGGCCGGCCCGGGCTGCTCTACCACGGGCAAGACAGCGACAAAGAAAGCACAGGCAGGGGGCTGGAGCGACAGCACAGCGGGCAGGGCGGTTGCCTCGCACGCAGCAAACGTGGCCGACACAGGTTCGATTCCCAGCATCCCATATGGTCCCCCGAGCACCGCCAGGAGCGATTCCTGAGTGCATGAGCCAGGAGTAACCCCTGAGCATCGCCGGGTGTGACCCAAAAAGCAAAAAAAAAAAAAAAAAAAGCACAGGCGTTTTGGGCCAGCAGGCCCATGGAGCACTCAGGAGGAGCACGGCTCCCCTGCTCACCCCCGGGGAATCAGGACGCCTCACACAGGAGCCGTCACGTTTCCAGAGCGAACAAGGAGCTCGGCTGCCCGTGACCTGCCACACTTGGGACCGCTGGGGGCGGCCAAAGTACAAACATCATCGAAATGAAAATAAAGCACAACTTCCAGAAAGAAATCTCATCTCACTGCCACTCGCTGAAGATACGCCATTACTGTAAGTGATACGTAGGTACCTTGACTTCATGAGACGAGTGATTTCACAGCTAAATCAAAGTAGGAAACAGGGGCAGGAGCGAAAGTACAGCAGGTGGGGCGTCTGGTCCCCGCCATCCCACACGCCCCCCCAGCACTGCAGGAGGGGTCCCGAGTGCCAGCAGAACCCCAAGCGTGCACTGGGGGGGTGGTCCAAAAAACAAAAAGCCACAAAGTAAAATCTAAAGCCGGGGACCAGAGTGACAGTACAGCAAGTGGGACATCTGCCTTGCGCTCAGCGGACCCAGTCCAATCCCGGCCCCCTACAGGGTCCTCCCGCGCACCCCCGGAGATTCCTGAGTGCGGTCAGGAGTCAAGTCCTGGGCATCGCCAGGTGAGGCCCAAAGACAAAAACAAGCCAAACACAGATACGAATTGAACCCAACAGCCAGGGCAACAGCAGAGCCGGAACTCCTTCTCAGGCCCAGCCACAGGCATGGAGGTGTGGCCGACACTCACCGGAGCCCGGGGGAGGGGGGGCACTCACCATCTGAAAGCACCTCATAGGCCTCGGCCACCTGTTTGAACTTTCTCTCTGCCTCTTCTTTATTCTCAGGGTTCTTATCTGGATGCCACTTCAGTGCCAGTTTCCGGTACCTAGAGAAGAACGGAAGGGTGTTCATCGCGCCCGAGCACAGAGACCGACGGCAGGAAGGGGCAAGGGCAGGGCTGGAGTCGCCAGGGGGTATCAGCCGGAGCCTCCCGCGACCCATCACGTGACCATGAACTTCTAATCCAAAAAGCAACACAAACCAACACCCGGGAAGAGGGAAGCGGAGAAACCCCAGAGCAGGTGGGGGAGGCCCCGCTGACTGAGCCAGAGGGCCCCAGCCCCCACTCCGAGGTTTCCAGCGTGGCAGGGGGTCCCAGTGTCCCCTGGCTTTCTCACCCCTCCCAGATCCTGTCGGGGGCCAGAGGCGTAGACAGTGGGTACAGCATTTGACCTGCAAGCCAGCTGACCGGGTTCGATACCAACATCCCATACGGTCTCTCAAGCGTGCCAGGGGTGACTCCTGGGTGCAGAGCCAGAGAGTAAAACCAGACCTGATAGTCCCAGGGCTGAAGAAACAATACTTTAGAAGGACTTAAGAACTTCCCAGGGGGCTGGAGCGATAGCACAGCGGGGAGGGCGTTTGCCTTGCACGCAGCCAACATGGCCGACACAGGTTCGATCCCCAGCATCCCATATGGTCCCCTGAGCACCACCAGGAGCAATTCCTGAGTGCATGAGCCAGGAGTAACCCCTGAGCATCACCAGGTGTGACCCAAAAAGAAAAAAAAAAAAATTCCCAGAACTGAAGATTACAGGCACCGAGATCTAAGAGGCCCAAAAGGTTCCAGTGAAAATACTAGGAGAACTCCAAGACACACTGTATTCGAAATGACAAAACCAGGGGTGGAGCAATAGCACAGCAGGGAGGGCGTTCGCCTTGCACACGGCTGACCCAGGTTCGATTCCCAGCATCCCATGGGGTCCCCCAAGCACCACCAGGAGTAATTCCTAAGTGCAGAGCCAGGAGAAACCCCTGAGCATCGCCAGTGTGACCCAAAAAAACAAAACAACAAAAAAAAGGACAAAATCCAAAGATAGAGAACGAATACTGAATGCAGCCAGATGTAAAACTTGCACACAAAGGAAAGCTCCGAAGATGTGCGGACCTATCAAATGAGACCCCTGAGCCGGAAGAATATGGAAGGGGATAGAACAAGAACTCGTGGGATGAATGCCTGACCGGAACACTCCATCCAGCCTGATTATTGTTCCGATTTGAAAGAACTGCACAGAGCTTCGGGGAGAGGCAACAGTTTAGGGAACTCAGAGCCCTGGAGCCAGTTTTGCAAGAAGCTCCTTTAAAGCAGAGGAGAAAGTTCCCAGCATGTGGCACTGGGCGTGGCACTCAGTGCTGGTGCATCTATTGTCCTCTACTAAGGTTTAAAAACACACAATTTATCATCGCAAACTGACTTTCCCCGATTTATTTTCTGATGAATTCTCCTTGCCATTCCTGTGTCATTGGACCAAGGAATAGGAAATGAATGTTATATGCCTGCCAGGGCGGTGGGGGCACCCCGGGACACTGGGGGCCTGGACACCTCTCGCCTGTAGCCCTGTAGCGACGCCACATGAACAACTTTGTAATCACGGCATCTCAAGCCGTCCTGGAAGTAAAAACCTAAATGAAGGAGCAAGGAACCCCAAAGCTCCAACACGACTGCTCACGGCGACCAGCTCCTGCGCCCTCCCCAGGGCTGCAAGGCCGAGACCGCAGGAAAAGCGCCCGAGTCCCCCAGAGGAGGCTGTGCTGCCCGCGTCTCAGTGGTCACTCTGCGGGGCCGGGGAGCCCGGGAGACCCAAGGCGGTGGGGGGACAGAGCAGGGCGGCTGGGAGGGTTGTGTTCGTGAAGCCCTGGCAGTCCTGTGAAACTATAAATCATAACCGAGAAAATAAAAAATATCTTGAAAAGCCACGAAGTCACGAATCATGAAGCCCATCAAACTCACATTCTTTCTAAAAATTCAAGCTTGGACATGACATGTGACTAAAAACAGCTTTTGGGGCCAGAGCGACAGACAGCGGCTAAGGCGGCGTTCGCCTCGCACTCGGCCAACCTGGGTCCGATCCCCAGCATCCCATAAGGGCTCCTGAGCCGAGCGCAGAGCCAGGAGTCGGCACCGAGCACTGCCAGGTGGGGCCCAAGGAACAAGTCCCAGAAAGTCTTCAGGGCTGACCCCAGCCATACCACTCCTCCAGAACCAAGAGCAAGGAAGGCCGAGGAGCGTCCACGGCCGGCCAGGGCAGGCGACGGCACTCTCGGAGCACAAGGGCTGCGCTGTGGCGGAGGCCGGCCAGGGGCGGCGCTGGCCACAGGGCAGGAGCCAGGCCCAGGGTGCTGTCAGAAGCTTCTCCCTTTTCCATAGTGGAACAGGAGCTGGCAGAGGGCTGGGCCCGGTACGTGGCCGTCTGTCCAGCTGGGCCCAAGTCCTGGCACCGCATGGTCCCCACGCACCAGCTGGCCCAGAAACCAAAGGGGAACAGGATCTACTGGGGAAGGACCGCCCTGACCCTCAGCACCCCATACGGTTCCCCAAGCACCACCAGGAGGAATTCCTGAGTGCAGAGCCAGGAGTAATGCTTGGGTATTGCTGGATGTGACCTAAACAGCCAAATTTGGGGGGGGGGGGGCGGTGTCTGGGGACACACAGTGATGCTCAGGGGTCAGCCCCAGCAGCTGGAGCATGAAACGAGGGCTGCCAGCCTGCAGGGCAATCACCTTACCCCCATCTGTCTCCCTCCCACAATAAACGCATGTATCAGTCCTAACACAGCAGACAGTGCGCGGAGGTCCAGAGGCTGCGGCTGGGAGTGCCCGCAGCCCACTGTGGCAGTGCTCACGGCCACCGTCCCAGCCTGCCCGCCACAGAGCGGGCTTCTCCTGGGCGAGCGCCCGACCTGATTTTCCACCTGCAAACAGGCCCAGGATGGCAGCAGAGCAGCCCGGCTGATCGGGCGCCTGGAACGCCCCTGGAGCTCCCAAGTGCTTACTTCCGTCTGCAGAGACACCCAGGCTTCCTGCCCACGTCCGAGGGGCCAAGGCAGGACTCGGACGTGCAGGCCAGCATCGGCACGCCAGAGCACAGAGGGGCCATGCAGCCCTCGGGGCAGCCGGCCACAGCAGCTCCCACGCGGCTGTCGGCTGGAGAGGCAGCTGCCAGCGTCTGAAGTGGAGAGGCAGCTGCCAGCGTCTGAAGCGTCTGAAGCACCGGCTCAAGGCTGGTAGGGGCTGGACTGGTCAACTCCACCTCCAAGACCGAGGTCAGGAGGTCACTCAGTGGTCACTACCTGCATGGGCGCCCAAGTTCACTTCCCAGCCCTAACTCGAAATCTAATGTCAAGGTTCGAGGGGATTACTTCAAACTGTCAGTCAAGTTTCTGTCTCCTTCCAACAGAAGTGGAAGCTGCTGCCCCACGACGGCTGAGGAGGATACGGAGTGACCTTCTTGTCCCCACATGACAACTGACTTGAGCCGGGGCCGTAACTGGGAGGCCAAAGGTGGCTTGTTAATTGCTGAAGTTAAAATTAACCTGCAGCATATTACCCTTGACTTCGTAAAGCCACTTTAACAGGCGTTATAAGGATCTGCTGCCTATCCACCAAGGACAAGCGCAGGTTTCTTATGCCACAAACAGTTACTTACGCCTTTTTAATGTCCTCGGCTGAGGCATGTCTCTGCACGCCTAGAACTTCATAGTAATCCACCATGTTTGAACAGGTCCTCGGAGTCCTGCAATTAAAGGCACGGTCAGAGAACCCTGGCAGGGCTGGGGCCAGCGGGGCGCGGGGCCAGAGAGGGGTCACCTCCCCCCCGCTCTGACCACTAGCTTCTCGGCTGGGACTCTGTCCAAACTCCCGCCCTCTTCGCGGGGGGAGAAAACAGGCCAAGCGAACCTAATAATAGCCCGATCTAAATAAACCCGACAGGTGCCACGAGGCGCCCTGCGTGTCCCCGGGACAGCTGAGACAGCGCCGGGCTCTTCTCTCCTGGACTCTTCTCCCCTGGACCCGCCCCCGCTGGGCGGACTGCCCCCACCCCACCCAAGATAAGCAGCGGCCCCTCCCCTGGGAGCATGAGGCCAGACCCACCCGTCAGGCGGCCGGTCACCAAGCAGCGGTCACCAAGCAGCGTACTCTGCGGACCCGTGGCCGGCCACAGCAGGAGGACGGGCCCAGGGAGGCAGCAGCAGGGGACTGGCCACACCCCGAGAAGCCTCGGGCTCACGATATCACAGGGGCCAATGCGGAGCCCAGGCCGAGGAGCACCACCATGCTGGCCCAAACCCCAAACCCCAAACCCCCAGACTGTCCACCAGCCCCAGTACCACCAGGAGGGCCCTGGGCTCTCCAGTCGAGTTGGCCAGCCACACCCCCAACTGAAACCAATTCAAATCAAACGCATCCTGTTCGCACCACCTCCGACAGGGTGTAACCCCCAGCTCCAAAAGTAAACAAGCGGGGCTGGGAGCGACAGCACAGCGGGTAGGGCGTTTGCCTTGCACTCGGCTGACCTGGGTCCGATCCCCGGCATCCCATACGGTCCCCTGAGCACTGCTGTAATTCCTGAGTGCAAAGCCAGGAGTAACCCAAGCATTGCTGGGTGTGACCCAAAAAGGGAGAAAAAGAAAAAGTAAGCATGGTGCCAACCATCTAAACCACTTTACTACCAGGTGCCCTGGGGCCAGGCAGGGTGCTCGGCTGGCTCAGTGCTCAGGACACCTGCCATGAAGTGCGGCGGGCCGCCCAGCATGCTCGGAGTGGTCTGCTACGTTGGGTCCCGGGCAAAGCGCACCCCAGCTAACCCCGCCGGGAGACACCAGCACCCACAACCTCCCGTGCGGCCCCATGCCAGCACAACTACCACACGTGGCAGGCGGGGAAGAGAACACACACGCCCAGAGCCACTTTGCTAGGACAGCAGGATAGCATCTGCCCTGCGTTCGGCCCGCCCAGGCTGGACCCGGCATCCCACAGGGTCCCCAGAGCCCTGAGCACCGCTGGATGTGGCCACGTCTTAAACTCGTTTCACTGAGCAAAGACAAGATGAAACGTCACAACTAGAAGTCACTCCTCCTCTCCAAACAAGATGCCCACCCGCTACACTCCGACTTGTACCCAAGGGCTGCTGTGGGCCGGAGACAGCACAGGGCCTGTCGCTGGCCTCTGTGTCCCAGCCACCCTCGTTCACACCCTGACTCCAAACACGGTCCCCAAGGCTGGAGCCATAGCACAGGGCCAGAGCCACAGCACAGCGGGGAGGGCGTTTGCCTTGCACACGGCCGACCCAGGTTCGATTCCCAGCACCACCAGGAGTGATCTTTGAGTGCAGACCCAGGAGGAACCCCTGAGCATCGCTAGGTGTGACCCAAAAAGCAAACGCGGTCCCCAAAACACCCCGTCACGAGTCCCGACCTGAGCAGGAGCTACTGATGGGCCCAGCATCCACCCACACCAACATTCGCGGGCACGTAAACGGCTTCGCAACTCCATGACTCATGTGGAAGAGACGCCACGCCGCTGAATGGTCCCAGCTCCCAAGGTCCCTCCACGCCGCGCCGTGCGGACAGCAGAGAAGCCCAGGGCTCAACGAGCACCAGCCCGCTGGGCCCCACCACTGAGAAATACTGAGAACAAGCCCCACAAGGCACAGTATTCGGTTTCTACCCAGGGAGCTGGGAAACTGGGCCAATGTGGAGGGCAGTCACCCGGGGGTGGGACTGGGCTGGAACACCCAATGCCTAAACAACTTTGTAAGTTAGTGTTTAAGTGAAGTTTCAAACATAAAAAAAAAAAAAAAGGCAGGGTCAGAGTGATAGTACAGGGTGTTTGCCTGGCATGGGCCGACCCAAGTTCAACCCCCATATGGTCCCATACGGTCCCCCATGCACCACTCGGAGTAACTCCTGAGTGCAGAGCCAGGAATAACCCCTGAGCATCGCCACGGGTGACCCAAAACACACGCTGGCTGAAGAAATCTACATTTCCTCCCCAGGAACCCAATCAAGTAACCCAACACAAGAGATCATTCTCAGAGAGGAGAGAGCACAGCAGGAGGGGCACCTGCCCTGCACGCGGCTGACCCTGGTCTGGTCCCCAAGCCCTGCCAGGAGTCAAACCCACGCTCGGTGTGGCCCCAGGGGCATAGAAAGAGGGCAGCAGGGAAGGCGCTAGCCTGGCACACAGTCGAGCACACACGGTCCTCTGAGCACTGCCGGGAGTGAACAAGCACTGCCAGGTGTGGCCCAAAACACACGGGGGAAAACGGCCACAGCTGTACCGAGTGGAGGCGGCATGAAAAGGGGCCAGCCGGGAGAACTGGCGCGAGCCCACGGAGGGACCCGAGGCGGGCAGCTCGAGGAAGGCCGCCAGGCTCAGCTGGCAGCTCAAAGAAGGGACGGAGCGCGGAGCACGGCAGGACCCTGCACACAGGTCTCTCCCCAGCACCCGGAACGGTCCCCCGCACAGCTGGGGGTGGCCCCAAACCCAAGATAAATAACAAGCCAAGGAATCTGGTAATAAAGCAAAATATTCCTATCGAAAATAGTGCATAAAATTTAACTTTAGCCTTTAAAAAAAAAAACCCATCCACAGGGCACGTCCATGAGGGGCCCAGCTCCACGCCCCGAGAGCGGAGTCCCCAGCACAGCGTGGCCCCACACCGGGCCGAGCCAGGCCAACCTGGTTTTGAGCCTTGGCGTCCCATCGGGCCTCCCGACCCCTGAGCAGTGTCGGAGCACGACGCTAGTAACTAAACAATGAACAAACGAAAGGCAATTCCGGGCCCCGTGGGTGAGGAGGCAGCAGGCCAGAGACCAGCGCCCGGCCGGACACCCTCGCCCCCTGCAAGGAGCGCGCGTGGCAAGGCCCGCAGCACATGGGCACCGGGGTGGACGCGACCGGAGGGGGCTACAATCTGGCTCTTTCCCTCTTTCCACCCGCGTGTTCTCTGAATGTCCCTCCTGTCTCCCGGTGCCCTAAATAAGACCCATGTCAGCTGGGGCCCTGGGACAGCAGGTGGCCGACCCAAGTCCCATCCGACACCCCACATGGTTTCCCCAAGCACCGCCAGGTGTGACCCAAAACCACGAGAGAACAAAAAGTCCCGGTGGGGCCCGAGAGCCGGCGCTGGGGGTCCTGCTCGCCTCTCGTGAGCCCAGGCCAGGCATGAGCCCTGAGCACCACCGGCTGTGACGCCTCCCTACACGACCCCCCCCCCCCCCCGAGTCACAGAGGCATTCCGCTGAGCTGGGCACCAACTCGGGCTGAGGGTCAGTCTGCTGTGGCTCATGGGCACCCAGGAGTGGGCTCCGGCGGGCAGCAGTGACCCTGAAAAGGCCGCGTGCAGTCAAGGCTTCACTCTCAACGGGAAGCACATCGGGTACGGGGGGGCGGCTGTGCCCGCCCAGGCCATCGACCCCCCTGCTCAGGCTGGCTCCTGGCCCACCTGGGTGCCGGGGCTCTGCCAGAGCAGCTCTTGCAAGGACGGTGCCCGGCCCATCTGTGAGACTCGCCAGCGCGCGCTCCCAAGCGGTGCAGGAACATATGCCCCTCGGCTGCGTGTGGCCCAGAAACAAAAGCCGCAGGACAGGAAGGCAAGAAACAAAACCCCGTGGCAGCTCACGGTCCCTCGGGTTTCTGTGCTCAGCCACGCTGTGAGGCTGGAACCCGAGACGGGAACGGGAGCCAGCGACGGCCAGAAAGGCTCAGAGGGCCGTGGCCGACAGGGAAGGAAGGGGTCCACGGGGGCGGGGGGCCCAACCCGCAGCACTGCGGGGAGTGGCCCCCAGACCCTGAGCACTGCTCAGGGGCCCCCAAAATAAAGACAAGAACTCAGGACAGATTCGAAATTCAAAATTATACATACAGATAAAAGTGGAGACGGGGCTGGACAGGTCCCGCCCCCAGCACCAGGGGTGATTCCTGAGCGCAGAACCAGGTGTGACCCAAACACTGAAAATAAAAGAAATACAACAACAAAGCAAGCTTTTAAACAGCTTATGAGCCGGTAGGTGGGGCAATTCTGGGGGGAAATTCCAAGGCCCAGCTCTGTACAGGCGCCGAACCCCAGCCACCGGCACTGGAGACACCCTTGCCCCTGCCGGCCCCGCCAGCCCCCCTGCCACACCCTGGCGTGGGGCGGACGAAGCCGGACAGCACCGCAGGGATATCCACCCCAAGGGGAAGGCACTCGCCACCTTGCAAGCGGTAGGTGGTGTGACCCAGAGGGCACGGGTGGCCCTCCCAGCACCGGCCACTCCGAGGAAGCGTCTCCCCGCTCCCTCTGGACAAAGCACCTGCCCCACTTTCTGCGCTGTTCGGTGACACCCCAGCTCGGCACTCGTGACACCGCAGCCGTCCTGCGTCCCGCTGAGGCCCGGCAGTCCCTGCGGGCTCCCCGTCTCTCTCTCTGGCCTTGCCGGGGTCACTCCTGCCTCCTGCTGTCGCCCAACCCTCACCACGGGAAAGCTCGTTGGGGCCACCCAGGTTCTGCCAGGGGGGCGGGTCGTGCAGGACCAGGGGCCGGAGCGCGGGCACAGCACCTGCCGACCCCCTGGCCCTGGCCGCAAAGCCAGGAGGAAGCCCTGAGCAACAGCGGGCGTGACCCCAAAAAACAAACACAAAAAATCAAAAACTAAAGCTGCTAATCCACTCCCTGGGATGACATGGGAAACCCAATCGAATCAACAATCAGCAAACGCCCTCCACAAACAGCGTCCGGGGCCCGTGCCT